GACCAGAGATAGATTGGAAGTTATCTATTTTTCATATCTTTTTTTCTTCTACTTTATCTCACCTTTTCTTTTCTTTTTCTTTATATTTTGTATTCCAAATTTTTCTTTTCATTTCTAACCTTTAAATATGTATCTTTAAAATCTCAATAAAATATTATAAAGAAAAAAAAAGAAATTGGGGAACCCAGTGCAACACCACATTTGGAGGCCCCCTTTGTACACACATAGCTCTATATTAAAATTGCAGAGATGGAAGAGGAGGATCTATGGAAGTGTGCTTTAGAAGCAATAGCCCTTTACACTGACAGAATGATCTGGGAACAGAGCAGCAATGCTCATTGCAACTTAATATCCTGTTTAACAAAATGGCCTGATTCTACCTATTAGCTAACATGGAGCTGTGTTAGTCTACATGTGAACATGACCCTTCCCAAAACTCCTATCAGTCTGATCTACCTGTTGGTAGATCAGGGAGCTGTGTTGACCTGGGGATGAACCTGCCCATCTGAAAACCTGTCAGCATCAGATACTCTCTCAGGGTCAGAGTTACAGAGGCAGGCAACTATAACATCTTCACATTTACACCTCTACTCCACTTCCTCCTGCCACTGTGTTTGCAGGGGATACCGTTCTGGGGCCTAATGCAGCTATATAAATTGCAACCCCTTTAAAATGGCCCTGAACCTCCTTCATAGTTTAGTGGGGAATCCCCAGTCCAAATTTCTAACCATATCACAACAGCTCTCCTGGTTTCTCAACCATTTCCTCTAGCTTCTCCAACTACCCCAAAGCTCAGACTGCACTTGATCTTATTTTCTCTCAGGCATCCACACACCATATCAAATTAGTCTGGTCTTGTCCTATTATTGCCACACTTGGGAATGAAGTCTGGAAGACCATAAAGGATCATTAAGTATGTCACGTTAATGAAATTAGGAAGTTTGTAGCATTTTGTATTAAAATGGACCAAGTAGCACAGATGATGGAAAAGGGCTTTGCCTGAGATCCCAGAAATTGACAACAAGTTAGAGTAGACAATTCAGGACCAGATGAGTAAGTAGTCTATCCTGTCTGAAGATGAATTCTTATATACCTACACCAAAGGCTATAGCTTTTGCCAGTGTTGTATCGTAGCATTTGGCATTATATGATCAACTATTTTTGATAATTAGTAGCCATTAGCAGAGTAATCTTCCATTAAGTTGCCTTACTTTCTAAATACATTCTATCATGATATGTAATGGTAGGGAATTCTATAACCTAATTATGCTGGAATGCAGTCAGTTTGCCCTGAGATTTTCATCTGCTTTTGGTACTATAGAAATATTCCTAGTGTTGAAAAATGTGCTGTTTGCCAGTTCTACTAATATGCTGAAAGCATGAAGCCTACTTATTTAGTGGTAATTTTCACTATGTCCTCTTAACTTAAACTCCATTTGAACTTGATTACCCCATACACTTCAAAATTAGGATTGCCACTTTTTGATGGAAAAAGGAATGCATTATTTTTCTTGCAGTAAACATATAAACGTCAGAGTAGGTCAGAGCCTGGAAAATCAAACGAAACTGTCAGGATTTTAGATCTAATCCTATTTATAAGCTTACAGAATTTAATTTTGCTGATCGTATCAAAAATCTGGAAAGTTAGAAAGCCTGTTCAGAACTAAGAAGCTAATATGGATTGTTCCATGATAGAGACCAAACTGAACCAAGGCCAAACTGAATCTCTAATTGGATTTGCACATCACACTAAGTCATGCTTTCCTTAACCATGATTTATGGTGTAAATCACAGTTGGCTGGGTTTGTACAACATCTCAAACCCCACACCATGGTTTAGAAATTGCATTGGTTGAGATCACACAACACAGTAAATTGAAAGCCAAACAAATCACAGAAGGCTTAGCATTTTGGGTGAACTAGCCCCCTGTTCTTTTTTGATCTTTTCCTCAAATATACTGACATTCATCATGCAGACATGGACATCTCTATGTAAGGAAATAGGTGTGTGTGCAATATCCTGATGTATTTTCTCCCCTCTCTTCCCCACATACAACAAGCCAGGAAATCTTCAAAGGACTGTAGTTTCCTGTGATTAACAAGCCAGGCTTTTAAACTAGTTTTTAAACTCTGTTGAAATCCTGGCTTATTCCAAACAGAATAACCAAAATTTGCTGATTCAGACAGTTAAATAAAGACTTTCAGGCTTAAGACAGGAGGCCAAGAAGAGAGGAAAGAAGGAAACAAGGCTTTATTCATAAAACTGAGAGCTGCACATCTCAATAGGAGCCATCTTTTTAAAAAACAAAATGCCATTATTAATTCCTGTAAATTAAATCCACACATCTAAAGATACATGTCAGCTTCACTAATACATTGTACCCTTTTCAGAAAATATGCAAGTGTCCTTCTCCTCCTTTCAGTTGGATGAGGAATCTGAGTATCCCCTCTGGTCAACAGAATTCAGTTCAGTGATAGGATTCCAGTCTTCCAAGGATGGATAAAAATGTCAACAGACTAACTTTCCTCATCTTATTAAGGTCTACAACTTGTGTATCACAAACTCACTTCTCAAGGAGCTCATTTCTGATGTAGCCACTCAGCTTTCATACTTTGTGTACTGGGTGTGCACTATATAAACCTGAGAGACTAGACTAGTGATTAAATCCAATGTTTCCTCCATAAAGGAAGCCTTCAAAAAGGGGAAAGCTGTATCTCATTTTAGCTCTTGGTTAAGCAACGTATAATCTCAGGGACACATGTGGTCCCTAACCCACATTTTTGTGGCTCTCGGGGCCCTGCCCAGCCACAGAATGCAATGTGTGAATCTTTCAAGAGGATAAATACAGAGTTGTACTACTGAGGTTTAATTCACATTTTAAAAGTAAAGAAAACCTTGAGGAAGGGGTGAAACAGCATCCTAATCCTGCCTGTATTTACACCGTTCCACCCACTGCAGCTCTTAGCTCCTCTCAAAAATGTTAAGTGTAGCCCCTGATCATTAAAACTGGTTAAAATTATCCCTTGTAACAGTTTGAAGTAGACCCTTCCTTAATATATCAGTCCTTCTGATATAAAACAGAATCCCAAGCTGTACTTCAAACTGTTACAAGGGATAATTTTAACACTGCATGCATTTAAATTAATTATGATATGCAAATGAGCTGTGTCTGGTTTTTCCTTCTGGGAAGGGTGACAGACCAAGCCATACATCACAGTTTAAACACATGCTGTGAAAACAGTACTTAAAACTAGCTCTTCCAGTTGCAAACTTCACCTTCTGGAAATCCCAATAACCTTTTCAAGGATAGAATTGCAGCAAATCATCTCTAGCGTGTCTGCAAAGCTTTCAAGCCTTCTTTATTAAACTTGGCAGTACCAGAAGCCCAAGCTGAATATTCTACAGTGAATAAACTAATATTTCTTAGGGCACAACTAGATATAATTCAGAAGGAGGTTTATAAACAGAAGAATCCTTATAAACAGGTTTATAAGAACAGTTTTAAATATAGGGCTGAATCAGATTGAAGTTGGGTTCACAAATTGCATTAAATCATGGTTTGTTTGACCTGTTTATTGAATAAGGGACAGTGGTTGGATTCATGCAACATACTAAATTAAAACCAAATAAATCTTAGCGTGATATGCAAAGTCAGACTGAGGCTACAGTTTACAGGTTCCCAGCTTAATCAGGCTACTGACCCTATGGAAGAAACATAGAAAGACACATATGGTGTCTGTCCATATTTCCATGCAAGGCAGGAAATATCTGATGGGGCGCAATTTTAATTAGAAAAAAAAATTCTGCCGGCCCCATAAGATCAGACAGAGTTGAAATGCTCCAGGTCCCAACCATTAAGAAATCTCATCTGATAAGACACAGGAGATGTGCCTTCTCTATCACCCCTGACCTCTGAAACAGTATCCCCCAGAGATTCAAAAGGCCCTGATTCTACTTTACTTTAAATGTATCTTGAATACAGGTAGTCCTCATTTAGCAACAGTCCCGATAATGAGTGTCTGCAGTTATGACAGTGATGAAAAAATAACGTTGTGACCAGTCCTTGCATTTACAACCTTCACAGGTCTATCAAGCAAAGGAAAGCTGAAGTAAGATTGTAAAATCATGATGTTGATTTTAGTGACCGCTTCACTTAACAACTGAGTTGCCAGTCCCAATTGTGGTCACTAAATGAGGACTACCTGTATCTGACTCTTTCCCCAGGCTCTGGACTAGGGTGCGATGCAGGCTCCCTAAGTAAGGGGCTTTATAGCTTGTTCCACCAAGTTGACCATCTCCTTTTTTGGCTTGTGATGGTTGTTTTACACCCTTGTTTTTA